TACAGTAGAATAGAGACTGTGTTCAATAGATATGTGCTTTTCATAGTAAGCAAACATGAACGAAATATATTTGTACTGGCACATAAAGGGCTTATGATCCTAATCATTCATGGTGAGATAGCAAATTATAGAACAGTAAAAAACTGATGACAACGCTACATATATACTCTAGAAGGGGACAGGGCTTTACTTAATATAAGAAACAAAAGTATTTACATATATATGTGTATATGATAATAATGCATTAGTGAAGATGTTAATGTATTATTCACTGTGTAACTCATTATTCAATGTAGGGGGTAAACGTAAACCCTTCATTTAATCCATTGGGGGAGATTGCCAAGAAATTAGACCCTTTTTGGCAGATGATTTGCAGTCTTCTCTCACAAATCACAGGTAATTGAATTCAAAAGACAGCAGACTGATGCCTACTGTTCATGTTCCCAAAAGAGTTACCATATACTTAGACTGCTGACATTATGCATTCTAGTTGCAGCCAACCTTTGCTATATTCAGAGGTTGGAACTCCAAAATAATTCCAACTGGGTGGGTTGCCCGACTAACCTAGGTACTGACCGGCAGAAGGTCAGGTACCTGTTTAGTCTTCCCCCCAAAGGGAAGATGTGGACGACGTGCCCTTCGCCACTTGTGCCTGGAGGGGACTACTGGCTAGCCTTCTGCCTTCCGACTATAGCCGCTGTGCTGATAGCTGTATTTTACCCTGCAGAAAGATTTATTTGTGTATTTCTGCCGGGGCGTTCGGGACTTTCAGTATGTGAGTAGTGCAACCCCAGATAGCTATGCCATGGAGCCTATTCGTGTAACGAAAGACTATGGAAAAGACTGTGGCTCCATGGCGATTGAACTGTATTTATGTGAACTGAGTGCCATTCGGTAATAATGTGCGCTAAGATCTAAGCTATCTGGGGATATGTTGCATGTATATGTTTTATGTAGTAATTGTAACATTGTGTAATTTTATGTTTTTTTGTAACCATGTGGTTAATGGAGTCTTGCCTCTGTCCTGGGAGATAATTTGATTACTTCTCAATTATCTCCAGGATAGAGAAGAGGGATTGTGATGTCACTGTGGGAGTGTTTTGTTTGTATTGTCTGTGATTGGCTAATATCCAATATGTGTCCCATTGTTTCATCAGGTTCCCAAGAGGAGTGTCCAACTGGTGGACACTTGCATAAATACCGGGCAGGTAGCCCTCAATAAACCAGACCTACTTGCACCATAGGCGTGCACACGGGGTGTGCCGGGTGTGCCTGGGCACAACCTAATCCCCGCGGCACGCCTATGGATTGAGACCGGCAGGGGAGATCTCAGGATCTCCCCTGTCGGCTCATGGAGAACCGGCCCTATCCGAGCACCGGCTCTGCTCTAAGCCTCCCCTCACCAACCTGTGAGGGAGGCAGGAGAGGACCCGGGGAGCTCTTGCCAGCAGCTCCGCCAGGTTCCTCTCGCGAGATCTGAGCGTTGCCGCGGCAATGCTCCGATCTCGCGAGAGTGAACTCTAGCCCCGTAGGCTAGAGTTCACTCTCCACTGGACCACTAGGGATGGCAGAAAGGATCCCCCCTCCCTACATAAGGTAATAAGGGAGGGGGGATATTAAGTAATCTGCCCCCACCTCCACTGGACCACCAGGGAAGGCAGCGGCAACAAGGATCCCCCTCCCTACAAAAGGTAAGAAGGGAGGGGGGATATTTATTAACTAATCTGCCCCCACCTCCACCCCCACAAATCACCCAAACATACAGCACACACACAGTACCCACACAGCACACACACACACATACAGCACCCACACACAAACAACACCCACACACACACACAGCATCCACACACATACAGCACCCACACACATACAGCACCCACACACATACAGCACCCACACACATACAGCAAACAAACAGCACCCACACACAGCACCCACACACACACAGCACCCACACGGCACCCACACACACACACAGCACACAAACAGCACCCTCACACACACACAGCACACTAACTACCCTCACAAACACAAACAGCACCCTCACACAGCACACTAACAGGACCCTAACAAACACACACACACAGCACACTACCAGTACCCTCACACACAGTACATTAACAGCACCCTCACACACACACACACATCACACTAACAGCACCCTCACACACATACATACATACATACAGCACCCTCACACAGCACACACACACACACATACATACATACATACATACACACATATATATATATATATATATACATACATACATATATATACGCGGCGTGTGCTTGTGCTTTAGGGTACATACCCTAATGCAATTGGCTGCGCACGCCTATGACTTGCACCTTTCTTGAAGCCTTGGCTCATGCTTGGGGGAAGGGATACCTACACTCTGGGGATTGCTATAATCACTTACTTCCCAGAGTAAGCTCTTGTAGGAGCTTGATTTGTTCCTGCTACACTCTCTGGATTTAGGAGAGGTTCACCCACTGGGAGCCTAATCCTGGTTGTGGATCCAGGGTGGGTGAGAGACAGCGAGACCCCGGCGCAGCTGCATCGCTGGAACTGGGGTCCGCAGTGCTGAAGATGTCGGTTGGAGTGCTCGGAGTCCTCTGCAAGCGCTAGGAGCATCAATTGGCGGAGGTACTCGGTCAGAGTGTCAGCGGTCCGTCACAAGTGGATTTTAAAAATTTTGACAGAGGTTACAAGAGAATGAAAACTTGGGATGAAGTGAATGACTCTGCATTATCTTTAGACACACCTAATAACTAGAGTTGAGCGAACCCGAACTGTAAAGTTAGGTTTCGTACCGAACATTAGGTTTTTTGGACCACGGACCCGAACACGGACATATCACTGTATGTTCGGGTTGGAGTTCGGTGTTCAGCGATTTAATGGTGCATTTTCAAAGACTGCAGGGCAGCCATTCAACAAGTGTTTGACTCGTGTGCCCTTAGAAGCCATCACAGCCATGCCTACTAATGGCATGGCTGTGATTGGTCAGTGCAGCATGTGACCCAGCCTCTATATACAAGCTGGAATCGCATAGCGCCACACGTCACATGCGGTCTTATTAGTGTAGGGATAGGATGCTGCCGCTGATAGGGACAGCTTAGGAAAGAATCCTGCAAACTAGTACATTAGTGGGGTGGGGTGCACTTCATATCTGAGAGTCAAATAGAAGCTTCAAATACCGCGGTTACATCGGAGTTTTAAAAAAAGTAATTTTTTTTGGTGCTAAATAGTACATTAGTGGGGTAGTACATTAGTGGGGTGCACTTCATATCTGAGAGTCAAAGAGAATCGTCAAATACTGCTGTCACATTGCAGTTTTAAAACTTTTTTGGGTCCTAAACTGCTAAATAGTATTTTAGTGGGGTGCACTTCATATCTGAAAGTCAAATCGAAGTGTCTAATAGTGTGCTTACAGCGCAGTGGTAAATATTCTTATTTTCTGGGTGCTAATCTGCTAGATAGTACATTTGCGGACTGCACTTCATATCTGAGAGTCAAATAGAAGCGTCTAATAGTGTGCTTACTGCGCAGTTGTAAACATTCTAATTGTTTTGCTGCTAATCTGCTAAATAGTACATTTGCGGCATGTGGTGCACTTCATATCTGAGAGTCAAATAGAAGCGCTTACTGCACAGTTGTAAACATTCTAATTGTTTTGCTGCTAATCTGCTGCTTACATTGGAGTTTTAAAAAGTCATTTAAAAAGTTTTTGAGTGCTAAATAGTATATTTGGGGTGTTCACTTCACTTCATATCTGAGAGTCAAATCGAAGCGTAACTTTGATTCGAATTAACTACAACGGTCACTTGTAATATTGTTTCACACCTACAACACTTGTTACACAGATCTAAGTGATAGAAAACAGATTGGTATTTTCTACACTAGAAACTACCAGATAACAAGCTGCTATATTTAAACCAGTGATCAATAGCTAAGAGGTACTTCAACAATATTGTAATTTTGGGGCAATACCCTCACAAGTCAAACTGAGAGGTCAGTTTGTAGGGAAAACTGTTGCCTGGAGGAAATTCTAAAACAATTTCCATAAGTCCTTTGCAGACTTTACATGCTGGAAAAACACAGGTGCCAACTGCTGTGGCTTTCTGCAGTGTGCATACTGGCAAGGAGGGCAGGGTTGAGGAGTGGGTGGAAGATGATGTGGAGGATGATGAGGTCCTAGACCCCACATGGAATCAAGGTCATGCGAGTGACGTGTGCAGTTTGGAGGAAGAGGCGCTAGTCGCACAGAGGCACCAGCACAGCATAAGAGGGAGCAGGGTGCAAAAGCGGAGTGGCGGTCCCCTAACGCTCGTCGGCATGTATTAGCTCAAGAATTACCAGTTATCCAAGTAATACATGTAGCAATCAAAGGATCCATAATAGAGTTGAGCGAACCCGAACTGCAAAGTTCGGGTTCGTACCAGATTTAATGATCCATTCGTAGTTTCTCAGTGAGGTGGGCAGTCCGGTGATCAGGACCCAGACACTGTCTGGGCGGCGGTCGGACGACCAGGACCCAGTATGCCTGATGTTGAAGTTAGGAGTCACAGTATGGAATGGATTAGCAGGGTCTGGTGCAGGGTAACCGCATGCCCCCTGGTGTTGAGCACCAACGTTTGTGCGGCCATATACCAGGACCCTGTTGCAGCTTCAGTAAAAAGAGTACTTGATATCAGAAGCCATCACTAGACTGATCCGCAACTTGGAACAGGATGTGACATTCACTGTAGCGGCTGTGCGTGCTTTTGGCATTGTCTCCTGCTGCTGCTCGCCTGTCTGCGTTGAAGCGTAACTTCGGCCTTCGTGCTCACCGCCTCATGAGACTGTGTGAGCAGCAGCAGGCAATAGTGGAGTTTCAGCTGCAGCACGGACGGGTCAGTGGCTCTGCACCAGACTTCCCTCCAATTGATCAGTTAAAGGATTTCAAGTGGACTCATTACAATTACAGGGCCTCTAAAGAGTCCTGTATTGTTATTTGTCATCACTACCTTTCTGCGTCGGGAGTGGGTGATTTGCGTGCCTGCTGCCTTCCTTGAATGTGGTAGCCGTTTCTCAGGGTCCATGTATGGAATGGAACCCTGATTCCCTGTTACCCGTGGTCACCATGGTAGGCACAGAAACTGGCATCGAAAGTTGATATCGATGACATCCGCATGCAAAGTCACCGCCACGGGGATGTGTGATTGGCCCGAGGTTCTCTAGAGTCAACAAAGTGCCTGAGCAACTATAATGTCAACAGCTACTCTAGGGAACAGAGTTGTCTTTTTTTATATGTCCCAATATTTTGGGGGCTACCCCAATTAAAATATATATATATATATATATATATATATATATATGTAAAAACAGTGCTGGCTACCTCATCCTCCACCGCCACGGTCACCGCCTCCTCAACCTATGGGTCATTTAGTATAAACTAGGTACACATTAGCAGAGGCTTGTCAAGGCCTTTTCTCCATGCATCAGGAGTTGAGCATTTCTCCATGCATCAGGACTGCAAGAAATGCACCGCAGGCCGCAAATGTTTCTTTTTTTTGTATGTCCCAATATTTTCTCTCACACAGCTCTCTGGGAGGAAGTGACTCATGGCAGTCACTTCCTCCCATGCTGCCAAAAAGCAAGGAGGCCTGGTCGTGCTGTCAAAGGGCCAGAGCGCGACCGGGCCCCTGCTTACAAATGCCCACCAGGTGGCCCTTAGTGTGGGCCCCAGGCTGCACTGGGGGGCCAAGGGGGGAATAAGTAGTTGAGGGCAGTGGGGCCCGTGGCACAGCTGCCTTGGGGCCCCCAGGAGTAACTGGGCCTGGGGCAGCTGCCCCATTTGACCAGCGTTAAAGATGGCCCTGTGTGATAGGATATGATGACTTTCACAGTCCCACTCACCACTCTATCTCACTTGTCCTATGAAAATCCACCCAATTTTCTCACACTCACCTTGATGAATTCTTTGTATTTTTCACTATCTGCTTTCCACTTTTCTTTTTTCTCTCTGTCCTCGATTTTTCTATTCTCACCACAAGAAGAACAGAATATTCTTACAGCTAAGCTTATGTTCCTCAAATGTTCTAGTTTAATAATTTGATATCAGACAATGACCTACTGTTCAGCCGAAGTTTTGTATTAACATTCCAAACTGTGCAATACGTACTTCTTTATGTTAACATCAATGAAGGACTGTCTCATTGTTTCCTTTTTCTGTCTTTTCTATCTATCTTTTATGACATTGTTGTAGGACGCATCATTCTTGAACAATAAAGAAATAAAATATTTTTATAATTTTTATCAGATATTATTTATATATTATATAGTTTAAAGTTTAGTTTATACATAAATACAGTGCATTTGATAATACTAATTAAGTGCATATAAACAAAGACCATGTAACGATATCCTGTACCAATAAAGTGCATACAAGTATACCCACAAGTGTAATCCAAGGTATACTGACCAGAGGCTGGAGACTAAATAACCTGCAAAGTTTTGGCTAGATGTCTCCTCAAGGAGATCTTGGTATCGACCTATAGTCTGTTGTCCTATGTTATACCCCCAACTACGTATGACTCTTTGACGATTTGATAAAAAAAATATTAAATCCAGCTACTATGGGACAGAGAGAAGAAAAAAACCCTCTAGAGAATCGTGCTCATGATTAACTGTGGACTTCTTCAATCGGCGTGTGACGCCGGCGTGCATCCCAATGAAGTGAGTGGCGTCATCACGTCTACTGCAATCGAGAGTAAGGGAGGTGGTAGCAGCCAAAAAACTAATGCGCAAAGATGTGTGATCTTGAAAAAAATTCCACTCTCTACGACCATCCTAACGACAGACTGTATGGACAAAAAAAACGTAGCTCTCACTTGGTCGTGTGCGCTTGCCTGTTCAAAGTCATGGGTGAACTTCAAGTATACATATCTCCATATTAACCCCAAATGAGCCAGGGAAGTGTTTGTAGAATCATATATTCCACACATGAGGCATCTCATATTATGTACTCATAAAAAAAAAAAAATCTGAGCAATCTTATAAAAATATATTGCTAGTTTAGTACAGATCAGATGAGGGAATGTTTACATCTTCTCATCGATAGCTTCTAATACTTCTGTTTCCCCACATAGTAATCAAAATTACATAACAATAAGAACTAAAAATAAGGACAAGAACAGGTAGCACTATTGCAACAAAAAAAAAATAAGCACTCCATAGTTTCTCATTGTGTACTACAAATTGTCAATAGGTATAGAAGCACAGTGTGGACAGTTTGATGTTGTAAACCCAGGGCTAATGGTGTGTGTGGGCTAGGGGGTAGATCTCTGCTAAGTAGTGCTCATGTAAGTCTTAAGTTGTTTCAAGTGTGTACGAGGTCTAGCCCCAAAGATTCTAAACAAAATAAGGATGTTACTCAGTAGGGCAAGCAGCTATCTGCTTCATAACATCGCACATCACTTTATTGTTAATAATACGTGAGAACGGTGTCATATGCACTCAGTGGTAAGTACCTCAAATTGGGTTGAGGGCATTGTGTCCAGTGCGCAGTTTCATTTAGGAAGAAGTAGCTGGGAGCATGATTTTTGCTGATATTGGTGGATCGCTGTAATGCCTTGTAGAGTTATAAACTATATAAAAAAATAAGTAGGTTATCAAAGTGGGTAAATAGATTTGGATGAACCTCAAGTTTAGAGACAAGTTTGTGAGTACAGCATATGTGGTGATATGGTTTGTTTTGTATGACATGGTTTATTGTGTATACCCCTCCAAAGAGCATAGTGTGGAGAATAGGCTGCTGAGAAGATCTGGATTTACCCACTTCCAATCCTGTTTCATCCCTATCAGAGTTTATGCCGTATGTGCGGAATGGTCAGTTACAGAGGATTGGTGCAGTGGTTGGTAATTTTTTGGGGTAAGGGTTTTTCAGGTAGGTGGATAAGCTGTCATCCACCAAATGGGAGATTGAGGCGGGACAGGGTAGCTAGTTTAAATTGGTTTGGCAGTGTCCCGAGGACCCTAATAAGCACAGGGTGACTAAGACATAAGAGGGGACTTGGAAGTGGAGAAAGGGAGTTCCCAGTGAATCTGCCATTGCCCCCCTCCCAAACGACCCGCCACCGTGACACCCACACACCCCAACAGAAAATCTCCAGACCAGGATATTTTCCATCACATTTCTCTCCCTTCAGGAGGAGACCGATACAGGAGGAGACCCGAGACGGTTTAACTTGCAAGTTAGTAAGTACATCCAGCCCACCAAAACTATCATCAAATTGGTACCCCAAACAAATTGCCCATGCAAAAGCAGCACTCACCAAGCCAACCTCTGCCTCTACCAAAGCATATATATACCGACTGGCCTCTGCCCCTTCTCCCTGGAGTCCTTTCAGTGGCTGAAAAGAAGGCAGGGTAGCTGGGGCCCCTTTGACACATGGTTGGGGATGTAAGAAAGTTGTCACACATCCCTGTGATCTAGGTGTGGAGACCACGGTCCCATCCACACCTCCCAGGTTAACATCCTCAGGTTGTTGTGGACAGAGACCAGCGGTGCTCTGCCTGGATGCCAGCTCTTCCACTGAGGGAGTGGTGTACTCGGTCCTCTTGTGCTGGGGTTGCACTTTGCCGCTGGGGATGAAGACTGACTACCTCTTCTCCCTGTATCGCACTCTGCTCCTGGGGAGGGCGACTGACCGTCTCCTCTCCCTGTAATGCACACTGCCGCTGGGGAGGATGATATAGTTCTCCCTGTAACTAACACAGGAAGAATCAACCGTCTCCTCTCCTTGTAACTCACACTGCAGCTGGGAATAGAAACCAACTGTATCCTCTACTGGTAGCCCCAACTGCCACTGGGGAGGGAGCAGCGTGGCCAGGGTCCCCATGCCAGGATGGTGGGGATCTGGGCCTCTTTCCCAGCATCCCTGTGAGTCAGGTATGGGGAACACAGGTCCCTCCACACCTGCCTGGCCAACATCTTTGTGTGTGAAGTTTATTAAAGGACCACTCTAGGCACCCAGACCACTTCAGCTTAATGAAGTGGTCTGGGTGCCAGGTCCAGCTAGGGTTAACCAATTTTTTCATAAACATAGCAGTTTCAGAGAAACTGCTATGTTTATGAATGGGTTAAGCCTTCCCCCTAATCCTCTAGTGGCTGTCTCATTGAGCTGTCTCATTGAGAGTGTCCATAGGAAAGCATTATGAATGCTTTCCTATGTGACCGGCTGAATGCGCGTGCAGCTCTTGCCGCGCGTGCGCATTCAGCCGACGGGGAGGAGAGGAGGAGGATCGGAGGAGGAGAGCTCTCCGCCCAGCGCTGGAAAAAGGTAAGTTTAAACCCCTTTCCCCTTTCCAGAGCCGGGCGGGAGGGGGACCCTGAGGGTGGGGCACCCTCAGGGCACTATAGTGCCAGGAAAACGAGTATGTTTTCCTGGCACTATAGTGGTCCTTTAAGTCCCCAGTTTCTGGAACCTGCTGCTGTACAGAGTAAAGTTGCCTGTAATTCTTTTCAAGCTCCCACTCCATGATGGCAGGATAGGTCAGTTCGGATTCCAGGTCTGTTGCTTCAGATAGATACAGGAGGTCTCTCTTAAGTTCCTAGAGGTCCCCGAGTCATAAAATAGCAGTGCTCCCATAATCAGTCCCCTCCTCGAAGGCCTCCCTCAATAGGCCAGAGCCAACATTGTCCTCATCCTCTAGAAGGTCGTTATTGGCTACCCACGGGTACTGCTGGACTGCATACCATCGTAATGCTCAGTAACAATTGTCCACCCACAATTCTATTCAGACAAGTTGCTCAAGTTCAACCATTCATTCTTCCAGGTGCTGCTCTCCCAGGAAATGTATCCGCAGATCCATTTGATCTTGAAGTCGCTGTTCTGGGGTTGGGAGGGATTCCCTCCGGAGAATCTGAACTTCCTTGAGTACTTCTTTCCAGAGTTTCTTTTGGATCTGGTCCCTAAAATCCACTTCACCCTCTCCCAAGACTGTGCACTCGAACTGGGACAGAGGTTCCTGTAGTCTCCTCTGGAACTCCTCGTTGGATGGGGACACTGCACGGGTGCAAGCTCTAACCATCTCTCTGAGTTCCAGACAATGTGCAGGCATCCCAGGATGTTTCCACAATAGCTAGGAAGCCATCCTACCGCTGCCAACCAAATGTGACGGAACTCCAATACTCCAACCGAGTACTTCCGCAAGTCCGCTTCCTTAACTCCCATTGTTGAGCAGTATGATAAAGTACTTACTATT